TATACTTGGCCTTTTTTTTAATACTATATTTTACTAACAGATTACTTGGTATTTTTAATTGGACATTTTCCCCACCTTTTCTTAACTAATTTATAACTTACACTTCTAATTTTATGACCGTTGAGTCAGTAACATCTTATTGGGTACTTTTATGAAGCAGTATTCTAATAGATGATTCTCTTTTGTGGCCCTGAAGGATGCAGTGAATGATTGAATGTGAAATTCTGTGCAGACACATGATGGAGCCACATTAAAGTGCTGTTGCCTGAGGGCCCTCTGACAGCTGTCTGCCTTGCGGTGGTATTTAAATCACTGTGAAGCATTAGAATAGGAATACCAATTTGCAACCAAAACATGCTTCTGAAGCTTGAGAACCTTCAGACCAAAAAAGCTCTAGACATCATTTTGAAAGGTTTTTGATGAGCCAATTGCAAATATTAGCACCTCTAAGCTTAAAATGTTACCTACTGAAATAAAAAAGTGAATAAATATTCTTGAGTGTAATCTCTTTTCAAGTCAAGAAACTAAAGCGAGGTTGAAACAAATTGAGAAACCTAAAAATAATTTTACCTCCTCCCTAGATGGAGTTCAGATGGTCAGTAATCTCACCTGGGCTTTGAGCTCCTAGAAGACTATAACAGTATCTGTTTATCTTTATATATTCCAGATTGCTTAATAGACTACTTTGCACATAGAAGATGCTCAGGATATATAGAATTCTGTCCCTTTGTTTTCATTTCAAAAGACCTTATCACTGAAAGTGGAGATCGCCACATTGCTATTCCTTAATGAGGAAGAACTCCCGTCTGGTATACTCCAAGCACGTCACTGCCAAAGACCATTAAAACCACGTTGTGGGTGTCTGGGTGGCTCAGTCAGTTAAGTGTCTGCCTTCCTCTCAGGTTATGATCTCAGGGTTGCCCCATGTGTCGGGACTCCCTGTTCAGCAGGGCGTCTGCTTCTCCCTCTGCCCCTCCCCGCCAGCTCGTGCTCACTTGTACGTGCACACTCTCTCTCTCGAATAAATAAAATCTTTAAAAAAAAAAATGTTGCATTTTTGTAGTGATAGATATAAATTTAAGGATATTTATGAATTGTCAGCATCATAAATCGCTCTATTATCAGGTCCTCTCTGACTTGTGCTTCATGGTAATCAGAGCTAGCTTTTGGGACATGTGATATGTGTAGTCTCATAGGGCCTTGAACTTGACTTAATGCTTTGCTTTCACCATCTTGAAATTACTAATAATTTCGTAACAAGAAGCTGTTGTCATTGTACTAGACGCCACAAATTATTAGCCACCCCTCTTGGTAATTATTTCTGTCATATAATTCTGCTTAACAACACTATATGATAAAACCAGTCCCTTAGAGAGTTTACTTCATTTGAAAATTGTAGTCTTTTAAAAGTACTGGTTCATTATTAGAAATATTTGTAGAGAGCCTGTCTTCCTTTCCCTTCCCATCTCTCCTTCCCATCACCTATGGAGGCAGTGCCATGGAGGCATTGACCACAGCATATCTGTCATCTGAAGAAATGGAGAGTAAGGGTAGAGAGTGCAGTGATGGCAGCTTGAGTAGTTAGGAAATTGGTTACATTGAGCAAATAATTTGATTTAGCAAAGAAGTCAATATACTAAAGATAAAAGAGCCAGATTTCTCATTGTCTGAAGGGATTTATAAACAATGAAAGGTGGAAAGTTGAACACTGGATTAGAATTGTAACTATCAGTATGAACTCATGGATTTTTAAAATTTACATATAGAAAAGTTATAGATGTACATTTATGTGTGTGCATATATGAACGCCTGTATGCACATAGAAATATGTATGTATATACATAAATTTCTTGGTTGTTTACACTGAGAGAATCTGGAGGCAATGACACCTCAGTAGTAATGAGCACAGTAAGTGCCCAGATCTTGATTTCTAAATACTATTCCTCACTAAAAGGAATTAGGGCTGCTTGGAAAAATGGCCAATTCCAGGGCTGGAGCAGCAAACATACAAAATAAACCTGGAACATCTTGTTGTTCCAGAAAGTAAGGAAATATTCAAAGAATGAAGACATGTCAAAAGGACCCAGAAACCAGCCTGAATACATACCAACTGGCCAAATCTAATTTAAGCAACAAAATAAAAAACATTAGCATAAGATTACAACTCTTTGAATAAAAAAGGAATCCATGAGTTCATAGGTGAATAAATAAATGAAGAAGAGAAAGTTCTTCCTTGCAATACAAGCCCAGCTAATAAATATAGAAGGGGTGATAGATAATCACCAGTTTGACAGTCATAATAGGGAGGGTGAAACAGGAGTCATCGGCACATGTTAGACTAGTAGTTGGACGGTTGATGAGGAACAAGATATTGTTCTGATACTGTGTAAACAGGTGTCCTTTTCGCAATCTACTAAATTACCCATTTTTCACATTTTTGTGCTTTGTGTTGATTTTGCTGTTTAAAACGGCCCCAAGCATAATGCTGAATTGCTGTCTAGCATTCCTAAGCACAAGAAAGCTGTAGTAAGCCTTCTGAAGAAAATAAATATTAGATGAGCTTCATTAAGGCATGAATTATACTGCTGCTACCCACAAGTATTATGTTAATGAATCAGATATATGTTAAATAAAGTATCTTTACACAGAAATAAAATAAAACAGGGTTATGTATTGATCAGTTGAAGAAAAAGTGACTGAGTCTCACAGAAACCTAACGCTGCATTTTCTGTAGGGGCAATGTTTGAGTAATTGCTAATACAGTGCTCATGGCACCTTTATAGAATTTAAGCACAGTGCATAACAAGAATCAAATGTATCTGTCATTTAATGGGTGCTAACAGTGATTGCCAGTGATTTTATTAGATTAATGTCATGTATAACAGGATTTTAAATTTTACCTGTAAGTCATGAAAATACATGTATTTGTGAGTTATTTATAAAATATTTCAGGAAAATGGGGCGCCTGGGTGGTTCAGTTGGTTAAGCATCTGACTTCAGCTCAGGTCATGATCTCAGGATCCTGAGATCGAGCCCCAGAGTCCTACATCAGGCTCTGAGCTGAGTGGGGAATCTGCTGCTCCCTCTCCCCCTTCCCCTTCCCCACCTTTTGCACACATGCTCTCTCTCTCTCTCTCAAATAAATAAAACCTTAAAAAAATGTTTCAGAGTAAAAAAGGGCATTTAGAAGACTTGAACTTTAGCTTATATAATATGAAACAGTAAAATATTTAAAACAGTATATTTGCACATTCCTTGCAAAATAAACCATATTTTTTTTTTTACTTCAATAACCTTCATTTAGTTGCATCTGATTACTAATTTATTTTTTTTTTTAAGATTTTTTTTTGAGAGAGAGAGCGTGACAGGGAGGGGCAGAGGGAGACGGAGAGAGAGTCACAAGCAGACTGCTCACTCAGCATGGAGCCCCATGCAGGGCTCGATCTCACAACCCTGAGATCATGACCCGAGCTGAAACCAAGAGACGGCTGCTTAACCAACTGCACCACCCAGGCACCCCTGCTGATTTAAAATGTATTTGATTTTAGGGCGCCTGGGTGGCTCAGATGGTTAAGCGTCTGCCTTCGGCTCAGGTCATGATCCCAGAGTCCCGGGATCAAGTCCCGCATCGGGCTCCCTGCTCCTTGGGAGCCTGCTTCTCCCTCTGCTTCTCTCTCTCTCCCCCTCTCTCTCCCCCTCTCTCTCATGAATAAATAAATAAAATATTTTAAAAAATAAAATAAAAAATAAAATGTATTTGATTTTAAAGAAATTGTAGTTCCAAAGATAGAAAGTTAATTTATTTGTTACTAAAAGCTGTAAGTAAACCATATATATTAACTAATCACTCTAAAATATATTATTTAATATCACTCTCACTCTGAACTTGCTGGTGTGTCATTGTCTTAAAGAATTTTGGCTTATCATTGTTTTATGTAATGTCTAATGGAAACTCTGCTGGCTTCCAGAGCCTAATAGATTTACGTGTATAGCTTTTAATGCTAATTGATTGGCTTTTGATACTTTTGAGTGAGAGAGAAATATCTTATTAGAATCAAATGGATGAATTAGCTAATTGTATATACTTAACATTTGGAGGGATACGTAAAAAGAGAAGAAAAAGACTCAAGTTGATTCAAAAACAAATGAGAAGAAAAGATATTTGGTGTGTTCTTCAAATCTTTCTTCTAATGAACCAAATATTAGACAAAACAAATTGGGGACTTGTCTTTGAATAGGAAACAGATGTGCTAAGCATATTCAGATTTTTTTTAACTTTTATCTTCAGATGCTGATTTTTGTCTAGAAGAGGGTGTTGGGGGCTACTAAAATAAAGCTCATAACTTCAACTTTTGACTGAAATCTCCTTGGTGCCTGGCACTTTATGCTGTATTAATGCCAGGAAATAAAATTTATCTCCTCTTATCTTTAGGCAAGCTGTTAATCTTCTAATGCAGAGTCACTTCTAATTTAGATTTCTAGGAAACTGGGAGGGGCGAGGGAGTATTCTTCGAGTCCAGTTGTTGGCTGAGCCAGGCTTTTGAGCTTCCTGGTTACTTGTCATTCAGCAACTGCATGGGCAAGTGTTTATAAGCTATTAATAAAGAAGTGCATTGATAATAATTGTTATTTCTCCTCTTTAAACAAATTGGATTTTAAAAAGACAGTTGTATTTCTTGTTTTGCTGAGTGCAAATATATCTCTTCAGCCAAAGATCATTACTGATAGTTATCAGACATTTGTTTTACACTTTGTGATCTTATAAAGTGATTTTCATCGGGTGTTTCTCACAAAAACCCTGAGTGGTAGGTGAACATCATGATTTCACGGATGGGAAAAGAGGGACAGAGAAGCTCTGAACCTTGCTTCCTGTTTAGAATATTCTGCTTTTCTGATCTGCTTTGTAGGTTTTTGTTTCCTTTTTTTTTTTTTAATATCCCTGCCTTACTGCTGTAGAGAATGATTTATATTTTACAACAGCTGATGTTTTTCTTTTGCAGAGATATTCCAATGCCCTTAGTCAGTTCAGGAGTAGAGCATGGTAATTTGAGAGAGCTGGCATTTGCAAGAATGAAGGACCTTGGAATACAGGTAAGAGTCTGACCGTAACTGTTAAGATCAAAGTAATCTGAAACACAAAACACTTTGAATACATACTTAAAGACTCACAAGTTTGGTCAAAAAGTTTCATATACTGAAGGCATTCTTACTCTGTAACATGAAGTTGAAACTAGTACTTGCAAAGGCTGCATCTTATCCCTTACACCCCTCTGCTTTCTTCCAAAGGAGTGTAGGTTTGCTGATTTAAGGATTGCTTTTTCACCTACTCAGATGCCAACTATGTGTGCTCAACTCTCTTTTTTAAATTTTGAAGTATTTCTTTTTTTCTTTCTTTTGAAGTATTGGTGGGTGTTCAGTTCTTGACTAGTGGTAATAGACTATATGAGTGTACATTTGAAGAAACAAGGTTTACTACTGTGTAAAATGATTACCAAACAATGCTGTTGCCCACACAGTCCAGTGTGCCTTGCCCCACTCCACCCCCATGTTTGTTCAGGTACTTACTTCTTCCGCAGATATTTATTAAACATCGTTCTTCTGACCCTGAAAGTTACAAAAGAGCCCAGGAATCTGTGACAGTCTCTGCAGATGATTCTTAAATCACAGTAAAGTGATTATGACATAAATTCACAGTGCCCTAGAAACTCCTTAAAGTTGCTAAAGAGAAAAAGCCAGGAGTGGGAGTCAAGGCCTGAGCATTGATTCCTGGGCTCTGCCTTCAGCAGTTTGGATTGACCAGGCCTGGGATGGAGCTGTGGGATATTCTCATGCACAATCCAAACATGGACCACACTTTGAGAGACATCGTCTTGAGGATTGCATATCATGTCTGTGGACTTGCCCAAGACTTTTATTCTTTCAGTCAAATTATTATGGAGAAAACTTTCCAGAAAATTGTTTGTCCAGAGAAGAGTTTGTGAACATGATTGGCTTATTCTTTAAAAAAAAAAAAAAAAAAAAATTCTAGAAAAATAGCAAATGTATTATTTATAGTAATTAATAGCAAGCACCAAACAAGACTGTATGCCTGTTCTGCTTCCCAGTTTCCAGCTGCCCTTGTCTTCCAGCCCCTCTGTCCTCTGAGAATACCACAGCCAAAGTGACTGACCTGGCCTGGTTATCCTGATAATCTCATCATCTAGCTATCATCTTTAACCCAGTATCCCTTTTAAACCTTGATAACCTCTCTTAAACTGGGAAGACTGAAAATCAGTGATAGACCAAAGACATCTAGTTCACATAGGCAATGTCTTTATCAGAATATAAGCACACACCAATCTCTGCTTTTTTTAAAAACATTCTCCTGGCACCTGAGTGGCTCAGTCAGTTAAGTTTCTTCTGATTCTTGGTTTTGGCTTGGCCTGTGCTCTCAGGGTTTTGGGATCAGGCCCCATGCCAGGCTTGTACGCTGGGCATGGAGTCTGCTTGGGATTCTCTCACCCTCACCCTCTGACCCTCCCCCCACCAAAAAAGGCATTATCTCATAGCCCCCCTCCCAAAGGCATGCAGGTGTTCATTAAGAGCATGTAACTATGGCCTGTTCACATGCAAACTACTTTATAGAACTGCTGTAGCTAAAAGACAACATCAAGGGCACCTGGGTGGCTCAGTAGTTAAGCGTCTGCCTTCGGCTCAGGTCATGGGCCCAGGGTCCTGGGATGGAGTCCCACATCAGGCTCCCTGCTCGGTGGGAAGTCTGCTTCTCCCTCTCCCACTCCCTCTGTTTGTGTTCCGTCTCTCACTGTGTCTCTGTCTGTCAAATAAATAAGTATCTTTTTAAAAAATAAATAAAAGACAACATCTAAATGTAATAGATTTGTAATTACAGAGACTCGTGATCCTTGTTTGCTATATAATTTTTGAGTTCATAGAATCCACATCAGCAAGGCATTCTTATCTTGGACTGGTTCCTGGGACATGGAAATAGCTTTGCTTTTACAGAGCTGAATAACGGGCTCTTATTTTTCTCATGGAATTCTATACGTATATAACAGTACTTCATAAATATGCTATTTTAGTAATATAGCTTGCATGACATCATCACATTTCCTAGGATGATCTTTTCTCACGGGTATAAAATGTTAGAATCCTGACAATAATTTTTACAATTTATTATGTAGGGGAAAATAGACCATAGAACATATAACAGAATACTGTAAGGACTTTGTAAGTATAAATGTCAGGCCGTGTAGTATGCACACTGGGTTGTGGAATAGAAGTGAGAGTCTCATCACATGAGCTTGGCCTTGCAGAGACCAGGCATTGCATGTGTATCATCTGCAGGCAGCTCTGTGCCTCCTAGTGATGCTCTTGTGACTGGTTCAGACTGTATAATAAATAGCTCTGGGTTCCTTCTTTTCTTCCTTTTTTCCTCCCTTCCTTCCTCCCATCCTTTCTTCCACAATGCCCTTCTCTGCAAAAAAAAAAAAGCACAGCAGTCTTTCAGCATCCCTCTTTTTGACATTTTAAAATGATACAAACATGGTGATGGTGAAGACGTAGTTTTGGATTGTACATTCAGGTACAGTTATATCCCCTGGGTAAAACTATTTTCAGATTTTAGGACCTATGTTATTTACTTTGAGTATTATATATTGATCTCGGAATTCTGAGCTTGTTTTTAAAGCATTACTGTACTAACTTCATACTTTATTTCCCCCATCCTCAGATTTATTAAAGATGGTTTTATTTTTAAATTTAGTTGTTTTTCTCTCATTGTAAATTATGTCCAGACTTAATTTTGAGCCCAGGGTTTGGTGGAAAGGTGTGAATAAAAATTGAATTAGTTACCAGTTTTGTATTTGCCCCTCTCCTCCACCTTTTTTGGCAGTGTCGAGATGTAAGAACCAGAGAGGTTGGAATCCAGGAAATTCATCACAAAGTACGGCCATACCAGGTTAGTTTCTTCATTTTATAGAGAATTTGGGTCCTGTTCATAAGTTTTTGGCAAGGCTGGACCCACACTTTCTAACCAATAGGACTGATCCCTAGAAGTTAATAAGTAAACTAAGCAAAGTGTAATTGACAATCACATATGGATGTCAAGACAGGAAAGGCAAATATGAGGGTGGGTGAATCGTAGAAGAGCCAGGCTAGGAAAACCAAGTCTGAGCTTCATTCTGGATCAGCACAATCCACCAGCATTTTCTGCAGGGTTGGAAATGTTCTATAATCAGCGCCGTCCAGTATGGTATCAGCCACCAGTCACAAGTGACATAGGACTAGTAAGCACTTGAAAAGTGGCTAGTGCAGCTGAAGAACTGAGTTTTTAATTTTTATTTATGTTTAATTCAAATATAAATAGCCACATGCAGCTAGTGGCTACCTTCAGGTAGAGCTGGATGTGATGTTTATTTCTGCATATACAACTATTAAATTCTACTCCATTGGTGGTAGTCAAATGAATAGATGGGCCCTTATCTACAGGGGTTCACAAAACTTAAGCGTAATGCCCAAAAGTATTTATTGTTTGTACAGAGAGCTAACTTCTTTCCTATATACCTATAATGCCTAGCTATGTGCCACATTTCCTGTGGGAGTTAACTCTCTTGTGGAACCCCATTTGAGAAAGGCTAGATGATACCTGCATTGATATTTTTAACATTTGGGACCTTTTGAGGAAAAAAGTAGACCCAAACACAGTTAATCGTTTTTCCAAATTCCTTTGCAGTCCAGTTAGTTAGCAAACACTAAGTTTGAGAAGAAACAGAAGCATTAGTCTGAATTGTTCACCTCACTACAGGTACAATCTGCCTATTTTTGGAATGTGTCTGGGTGTGACCATATGTAGGTTTCTCTGTGCATACTGTTACATATTGCTTATATAGATGCAAAATTCAAGGGCCACTTGAACAATGAGTTTAAGAGTCAAAAGCCTCTGTAGATTGCTACCACAAGAGCTTCCCCCAAAAGCTACTTTCCAGTGCTTGATTTTCTTTGATGTTTTAGTCTTGTAACTAACTAGGCAGAATATTTTAAAGGGGTCATCCCTTTAAAGGGATGCCATACTTTCTTAAAATTCCATCAAGAAACAAGTGACCAATAACACATTTTTTCCCCCAAAAGCAGGTTTTAGTGGAAGAGGTAAAGGCCAGGAAATGAAATTGTTGAACCACCTGACTGTTCTGGGGCTCAGTGGTGCTCGCAAGAGCCACACATGTGATATAATGTGTAAATTTTGCCTTAGAGACTCTTCCTGGAGGATCAGATTTAAGTACATAGAAGCATTTACTAAGCCAGATCTCTGCAAGAATCTCAAGGTTAATGAAGTTCAAATATGATTTCCGTTTATAGTATTCCATGAACTAAGCATGAACTCTTACTTAATCATTGATATGTGAGAGTAGACAAGTAAAAAGAAACATAATTCATGATTATTCATTCTTTATCCTTAATTGAGTATATTAGCCTAAATAAATACTTATAACAATGAATTTTGTTCTCTTAATTTAAAAAATGTTTAATTTTTATTAAACAGATTGAATTGGTAAGGAGAGATTATGTTGCAAATGGTGGTTGGGAAACATTCTTATCATATGAAGACCCAGATCAAGACATATTGATTGGCCTCCTGCGATTACGAAAGTGTTCAGAGGAAACCTTCCGTTTTGAACTGGTTGGAGGTGTTTCCATAGTTCGAGAGCTGCATGTGTATGGAAGTGTAGTCCCTGTGAGCAGTCGAGATCCTACTAAATTTCAGCATCAGGTATGCTGTATTCCATTTCTATTTGACTGTAATTAAGAAATTGCCCAGGGGTGCCTGGGTGGCTCAGTCAGTTAAGCGTCTGACTTGATTTCAGCTCAGGTCATGATCTCAGGGTCGTGAGAACGATCCCCGCATCGGGCTCTGTGCTGATCTTGGAGCCTGCTTGAGATTCTCACTCTCCCTCTGCCCCTCCTCCCCCCCAGCCCTCCCTACCCTGCTCACTCTCACAGGCATATGCACTCTCTCTCTCTCTCTCTCAAAAATAGATTAATAAGGAAGGAAAGGAAGGAGAAAGAAATTGCCCAAAGGAGGAAAAGTGAAAAAGAATGGGTGGAGGGAGGGGGCAGAGGAAGAGACAGTGAAAGAGGAAGGAGGAAGGGGGAAAGGCAAGTACAGAAACTGAGGAGCTAGTATTTTATGTTCAGGGATATTTTCTCTCCCAAGTTGTAACCTTTTGGGTGTGAGAGGGGAGGAGTGACAGACAAATTTGAGACTCAGTCAAGTAGAATATAGTATTAGATTGAACCATATGAAATTGCTATTTTTGAAAGCAGAAATGGTGTAATACCAGCAATTTCTTATGATTCAACTATGTATTATGAAATCAAAGCCAATGATGATGATGTGAAATATTAAAGTTCTTCATAGATGCAAGCTAAATTTGATATATAGTGGAATGCTATTCCACTCCCCACAAACAACTTAAATAAATAACTCACTTTTTCAAGTTTCCAGAAAATGGTTTTTAAATCACTAATGGTGGATATAGCGTAAATCCCTAACTTGGTGATTTAAGAATATTGCCTGGTTTCAAAAACCTTTTAGAAATTGGAGGGGTGACTAACAGATACAAGATTAGATGCCCCAGACTTTTTTTTTTTTAATATTTTATTTATTTATTTGACAGAGAGAGACACAGTGAGAGAGGGAACACAAGCAAGGGGAGTGGGAGAGGGAGAAGCAGGCTTCCCGCTGAGCAGGGAGCCCGATGCAGAGCTCGATCCCAGGACCCTGGGATCATGACCTGAGCTGAAGGCAGACGTCTAACAGACTGAGCCACCCAGGCGCCCCTAGATGCCCCAGACTTAATCACCTGGAGATTGCCTAGAGCTTATTTAAAAAGAGACGGAAGTTGAGAGACAATTGCCCCCTTCCTGTGATGAGATTACATCATCTACAGAATACCTTTTGATGGCTTTTGTTGCAAAATTATTGCCTAGTCTGCTACAGTATATTTTTGGTATGATTGAATGGTTTCTCTTTTCTTATCCCCATAATTTTTTTTTTGTCACTCTTATTTAGCAGATTTTAGCAACTACTGAATATTAGCCTTTTTGTTTTACAGACCCTTCTTAATGACTTCTTTCCTTCTTAATTCCCTAACCCCTCTTTTGCTCTTTCCAGGGATTTGGCATGCTGCTGATGGAGGAGGCAGAAAGAATAGCTAGAGAAGAACACGGATCTGGGAAAATAGCTGTGATATCAGGTAACTAGGGGAAGACGGTTCATGATTCATTCACATTTTTAACTTGGTATCACAATTAAAACGATCTCAGGCCTCTCTTGCCCCTATTTATGATTATTCACAATTGGGCAGAGTATAATAGTGAAAGACTTGTGGTCAAACACAGAATTCCTATGAGCAGTTTTGGTGGCATAGTTTCAGAAGCACTCCATCTCTGAGTGGCAAGACCAGTAATCTGGATCCTGTCTTCCTTGCTGTCTGTCACACCAGTCATCTGTCTATCCCACTAGTTGTCATGGTCATTTCTTCTCTTGCGCTTTGTGCCCAGTTACTCTGTCTGGGAAAATGAAATTTGGTGATAAGGCTCCAAGAAAAAGTAAACCAATATGGCCACTATCAATATTGTTGTTCAGAAACTTAAAATGGAACCTCAGGGGCCAGTACAAGATGTTTAAAGGTAGAGTTCTTTGCTCCTTAAATATTGCCCTCAGTAACTTTGCTTCTGGGAAACCGCTTTCCCCTATTTGGAAGTTTCCCCATACTTTGTCTAGGACATCAGATAATTAGGGAAGTGGGTGCGAAAAGGAAATTCTGGTATGAATGGAGCGAAAATAACATATACACCCTTTCATTCCTACACTTTAGTACTATATCCTTACAAAAATTGCTGTTCCCAATAAGAAGCTAACATGAGGAAAGCCATGATCAGAATATAGGTTGTTTTTCCTCCAGCATTTGTTCTCGTATTCGAAAACATTCTCTCTTAAAGGCAGATTATTTTCTCTTAAGATCTTTTAAATAATCTTTTCTGAAAACGAAAGTTGAAATGCGTTTTTTTAAAATCAATAAGTTGTTGCTAATCAATAAATCAATACCCTTGCCCAGGTATTAACAGTTACAATTATGAAAATATAATGACCCAGGCTCACTTAATCATTAGTCTGGCTATGGTTTTTGGCATTTTCCAGACAGATTAGTAAAACATTTCTTACCATGGCTAGCTTTATATATTTTCGTCTGTTATCTTTAATTTCACTGAAGAAGAGGGAACTAAATGAGGCTCACCTGATTGATACTGATATTTGTAATAAAAAATGTTTACCTCTCAACTGTTTAACCTGTGGTTGTTCAGAAGTCAACCTTTCCTGGTACCAGGAGAGGGCCAGCCTGAGTCAGGACTCTTTCTACACACATCTGTGGTGGGTTGAAAGCACCTGAAATTTCAGTGGTCCCTTTTGCTAGAGCACTCTCAGTGTTTTTAGCACAGTACTTCTCAAGCTTTAAATATGCTTGTGCTTCACCTGGAGATCTTGTTGGAATGCAGATTCTGATTCAGTCTGGGATGGGGCTTGAGAGTCTGCATTTCTAACCAGCTCTCAGTGATACCTATGCCGATCGTCTCTTCAGACCACAGTTTGAGTATCAGCAAGGTTTTCATATTCTCTTTCAAATCATTAAGGTCAGGATACTCTCAGGGGCCCTGGCGGTGCCTCCCCTCCCACAGTCGGCTATGCAATCACATGGTTTTCTGGTATCTGTAGGAACGTCATCAATTTTAAAACTAAAGAGCATTGGTAATCTCTCACTTCTCCACATTATTTCATTAGCCTTCATAATATCTGTCTCTTTTTAGAAATGTTACATGCACAGAGGGCCCCTGACTTGCCTGCAGTTCTATTCAGTTGCCCATAAGAGCCTCAGTTTCTGTTTTTTATGAGCAGGGTGTCTTTCTAAGTAGAAATCAGCATCTGTCCTCTTTCTGGCTTTTTATCATAATGTAAATAATAGCTCAATTTCAGATCATCTGCCTGTAGAATTTTTAAAATAATAAGAGACTTACTGAAAATAGCAGGGAAGAACTTTTCTCCTTATCAGCAGTCTACAATAGGACCACTAGATTTCTGTATAGGGGGTTTCTTTTGGCCAGTGGGTTTCTGTAGGAGCAGTCCTGGATTGTCTTTTTGAACCAAAGTGAGTTCTTCCTGTCACTCTAGTCTATAAGCTGGACCATTGCTTTCTATTGAGGAAAGCACATAGGGCCTTGACTTTCTCTTTGACTCAACATCTGATCACCTTTCAAAAGAAAAAGCCAAGAACATTTGCTCTTTGTATGATGCATTTTATTTCTGTAATTTAGAAATATATTATTGTTCCAGTTAAGTTTCTGAATCAGACACCTGAGATGTTCATTATTCCTAACTTTGAGTAGTGCAGATTTAATAAATTATTATCACATGTCTTTAATGTTGGTTTTGTCCTTCCATGTTTGTTCATTTTTTACTTTGGTCTTTCTGCTTTGAGTATAATGGGTGTGTGTGTGTGTATGAATGTTTTTTAATTCATTTTTGCAAAAAGTCAAACAGTTTTTCTCCATAAATGGATCCTTGGAATGAAAAACTCTGTCATCACAGTGGTGTTTGTGCACTACACTTATTCACAGTGCGTCATTCGATGTGCTGTATAGGAGACACGTGGCGGGGGGATTGGATTCTAGTCCTGTGTTGACAGTAGCACCCCTTGTGATCTTGGATAATTTCACTTGATCTCCATGGACCTTTCTTTCCTTACTAAAAACAACAGAGGTAGGTTAACCATCTTTTACAGTTCTAGAGTCTAGAACTCTGCCCCTCAGTGTCTTCATCTCTTTTAGTGCTCAGAGTAACCAGTTATGTTTTACTGATTCATCGTAAGTAGATTCTTTTCTGAAACCATGTTCGGAAGCCCTTCAATTTCATTAGTAATTGAGTTCTGTCTCCTTGTACATTGGGTATTTGATGATTAAAATTATACAGGTTCCCGTAGGTAGATTATCCTATCCATGATTTGTGGATGGATGCATATTGACTTCAGTCACAATTTGGTGATACTTTGTGACCGTCCTGTGTTTTTTTTCTGACCTTGTCCTTGATTTGTAAATCCATCCTTTTTCTGGCCTGTAGGCTTTTGTACACAGTGGTGGCCTAGATATTCTGTCCTGGCATAACTAGTAGCTTGAGCAAGGGAGAGACAGGTCATTTATCATTCTGGTTACTGTGACTGTAAGAGTAATGCACTTATGTAGAGTTTTTGTTTAATTACATTCTGATTCATTATGACTTCCCCTCAACTTGCCAGCAGATTTTCTGTTACTTGGATTTATAATCTTTGATTCTGCCTCTAGACAGTATGATTAACTGCACAGTAGATCTGATTTGAAACACTAGTCAGAAACACTCCATGTGTTCTATTTTTCCCTATTAAAAACAAATTGGTTTTTATCTTTGTTACCTCAATATATTTTGTTTCTAGAGGGTGTATACTGAATATTTTACAGCTGATTGACCCCTTTAAAAAGATTAACTTTATAGCTACATGAGAAAATTGAAAATTTTCTTGTTTATTGGAGTCAAATGAAGCACTTTCTTAGACTTTTAAGATTATTCATTCTATTTTTTAAATATGTATATTTGTCTTAGTAAGTAAACTGTGTTTTAAAGTTAACCGTCAACTCTAACTGTAAAAATTAAAGCAAATTGAAATATTCAGCTTCATCAGCATCAAAATCACCAAGTGCATTGAGTATCTCCTAAGTTCAAGGAACCAGCGCTGAGAGGGCAGAGGAGTACAAGATGCTGCCCTGTCTTTGAGGGATGTTGCTATTGGGCTGCACAGCTAACTCAGCCTTCACCCCACAGGTTATCCTTAACTGCTGAAGGAAGAAGATAAATTTTTCTCTCTACTTACATCTCAATTCATGATTAATTGCCTCAGAATAAGAAGATAATCTTTTTCTACATACAAAAATGGGTAAATCGATAGGGTAAGAACAACCAGTTTACAAAATAATGTGTAAGCAGTTAATTACTGCTAAATATCTAAGCAATCAATTAGTCCCCATTACGTCCAAGTGTTTTAGTATCTCCCGAACTTCCTCATGTGGTTTCTATCAACATACATCTGTTTAAGATTAACAAATTGTATCTACTTAAAAGCCGTGTTGTTTATGTGGATGATGAATATTCTTTCTAATATGTTAAGATGAAGCAGTTTTTTCTCTTCCCTGTCTTATGGTGTAAAGTGCAAGTGATTATACTGTAGAACCTAACTACAACATTTGAAATGCCATCACTAATAATCACCATGGAAACTGGAGATCTCTGATGTTAAACTGCCCATACCATTTCCAAAAGGGCAAATATAACTGTTGAGAGCTACTATTTAAAAAGCCACTTAATACCCCCAACAGAATGATTTTTTTCTTTTGGCAATTTTGGGTAGGTAGATCCAATCATATTACCGTTTCTGTTTGCCAAGCTAATTGCTATGCATTAAGACAAACCGCTATTCCCCAAGCTCCCCCTAGTACCTTCGTCATAAGCAATATTCTGTTTGTGTTCTTTCAAGTAGAAAATTAATATGGCCATTGGCCAAGAATTGTACAAGGCTGATAGATCACACAGTGGTGGTGAGAAATGAGGAAAATGTCCGAATGGTTGATGACAGAAATCACTGAAGTCAGAGACTGTTAGCCATTTTGTTAAAACCCATTAAACAGGCACAGAAGAGGGAAGGGAAGAAGATAGATATACAGGGTGAGTAAACCTTAAACCTTAAATATAGAGTGAGTAAATGAGTCCTTGTGGAGATGAGATCATTCTAAGTCATGATGCTCAGAATATGATTCTAAAACTACATCTACAATTCCTACCAGTGAAAAAATATCAACATGCCTGTGCCTTATATAAGCCAATATGGTTTCCTAGGACCGAAATTAATGGTCTGGTGCCCCAGAGCCAGTGTTTAATGATATGTGGGCAGAAAATAACAGTCGTTTGGTTTCATTAAACTACAAATGGCTTAGATCTACTTAGTGGACCCCAGAAACTTCGCCTGTATTACATGCGGCAACCCTTCTCCCTTAATTTAAGGTGAAGATAGTTTTATTCTTTGCATGATAATCTAGGTGAAAAGAAGCATGCATTTGTAACTAGATCTGTCTGGTAATGGACTCATAATCCTTACCAAAATGCCTAGAAAAGCTT